AATTCCTGTTATGGTTTGTGTTTATTTGTCCCCCCCCCCCCAAAGTCTCATGCAGTCATTGAGGTGCAGTTCTAGAGTTGTGACTAATTCCTGATCCAAAACTGGGATTATGGTTCGGAGTACTGCTGGGATTATTAGTGTGAGTGCTACACCCAGCCTGGAGCGATAGCCTGAGTATAACATAAGAGAGATAGAGAGACAGACTTGTTCTCTGTGGCCGTTGTTGCTGCTACTCCTCCCTTACTCTCTGCTCTCTTGCTCTTTGCCACTGCCATGAACGTTGCTGTCTGCCATGTGCCACTCTGAAAAAAACAAAACAAAACAAAACCCTCCACTGACTGTGAGCTAAATAAACCTTTCCTTCCTTCATTTTGGGTGTTGGATATTTATCCCAGCAATGAGAGAAGAGTAACTGAAGCAATACTCACTTTCTAATTTTTCTGTTTTGAATTAAATCTGGCTTCCACAAGAGCAACCATTGAAAATATTTTTTAAATTCATTTTTTATACTCCTAGGATTTTTTTTTTTTTTTTTTTTTTTGCAGAACCAGGGATTGAACTCAGGCCCTTGTGCTTGCCAGGCAAGTGGTTATTCTACTGATCCATCTCCCTGGCCCCTAAATTTGTTTTTTAAGAAGTTGAAAATGAAGGGATAAAAATCGTGTACTGAACCTTCAGATCTCCCAGGCATCACTTTAGCATGAGAGGGAGGAAGTCAGTGGCAGTGACTGCCTGTCTCTCGTGTAGTTGTATGAACAGGAGCACACTTCCCTTGTATGTGCAGTGTCCTTTTGTGCACCCTGGTTCCTGTGGGCTGTGTGAAGGTTGCTCTGGGAACACAGAGTCAGCTGCCTGCAAAGTGGTTAGGACATCTGGGATAGGCAGCCCTGAATGTGTCAAGGACTGAAATTTTGTCAGTTAGCCCACACCTTACCCTGGAAGATGCAAGCCTTCAGTGGACTCCAGAGTTCCAAGCTCATTTCATATAGGTAGCACTGTTACAGTCTAGATGGGGACACAGATTTCTGTTGTATCTTCCTCTCCTATCTTAGAATTTTCCCTCTGGATTAGTGACTGTTCTGTAGCAGCACTTGAAATGTTTTACTCTGCCTTTCCTGCTTGTATTAGGAGAAATTCTTATCCTCTTCTTCTATGAGTAACCCCTCTCCTAGCTTCTTTTCAGGTCTTTCCTTTTGAGTTCTGATTCTTGAAAGAGATATGCCTATATGGCTTTTTGGCCTATGTTGTCCTTGGTGTTCTTTATACTTTCTGGATCTGTGATTTGATTGGATAGTAATTTGGAGAAATTTTCAGCTATTGTTTCAGCTATTTCTTTGTCGATTTTTTTCTCTTTCTTTGTCTTCTAACAGTCCCAGTACATATATATTGCACCTTTTGCAGTTGTACCATAAACCTTGGATATTCTCTTCTGATACTGTTGAGTGTTTTTAGTTTTTTTAGCTTTGAAGGTACCTATTGTTACCTCATTTGTGTCTAGTTTACAAATGAGCCCATCAAAAGCATTCTTCATATCTGTTGCAGTACATTTAACCTCTAGAGTTTCTTTCTTCTTGAACCCCTCCTTTGTCCTATACCCATTAGAGCCCCTAGCATATTAATCATTGTTCTTTCACAATTCCAGTCTGATAATTTCAGCATCCTTGTCATGTGTCATTTTCATGTTTGCTATCTTTTCAAATTATATTTTTGCCTTCGAGTATGCCTTGTAATTTATTTATTTTTTTTTTTTTACTTTTTAAGACAGGGTCTTGCTGTGTAGCTCAGGATATCCTAGAGCTTGCAGCCATCCTCCTGCTTCAGCCTCTGGAGTGCTGGGATTACAGACATGCACCACCACTCCCAGTTTGTGATGTTTTTCTTGATGGGTGACATAATGCATTAGATGAAAGAAACTACTGTTAAGTAGTCCTTTAGGAATGTGATGCAGGAGGGAGGGAAATGTTTACCATCCTGTGATGAGGTTGAAGTCTTCCTAGTGGACTTAGGCCTCAGGACCGTGAACTTCAAAAGTGCTTCTCCCGGTTTCTAGAGGTGGGGCAAGTAACTAGGAGTTAACTCTTGTCCCCAAGTTCCTCAGCTCTGAATACATCTTTTTTTCACCTTGATGGGAACAGAGATCCTGGCACATTTCAGAATGATTCTTTCTGCTCTCCCTGCTAGAAGCATGAGCATAAGAGGATTTTCCCCCAGTACTGAACTGTGAGAACTTGGTTGGCCACCTGGATGTAAAACTTACTGAAGTAGATGCCACCCTGTGACAGGTCCCCCATGGCCTTTAATTCTCAGGCTTGACCACGTGTAGCCTCCATAGCTGGCCACTTACATGTCAGGTCACCTGCTGTGATCTTAGAATCCCTAGCTCCCTTGCCTCAGTCTTGGAACCTGTGATCTTACCTTCCTCTTTCTAATGGAAAAAAGAGATGTTGATGTTCGGTTTGCTCACACTGTTACTAGGAGGGAGCGGTGAATTCAGGCTCATCATGCTTGGAGGCAGAAACGTTAGCAGGCACACGGCTAGCATGTACTTAAGGAACACACTCAGAACAGTGTCATCTGATGTGGGATGAAAGAACTGAGAGGTTGGTATGGATCACATTCAAGGAAAATACTGCCTTGGAAAATGGTAACATTTGATATTTTGCTTACATTTTTTGTTTTTCAATACAAGTGGTGGCACTCCAGATTTTGATGTTCCAGTGGGAAGAGTAAGATTAGATTACAGGACAGTAGAGTTATTAAAGATCATACAGGGAAAATACAGAGTAGATGAAGCCAGCTATGCAGTTTTCTAACTCAGTGATAGGCATAAATCTTACTCTGAGTTCTGACCTGGAGAATAGAGGCAGTAATAGCTATTTTATGAGGTCATTGAGGGCAACAAATGAGTTAACACAACAGACAGATCTGATTATAGTGCCCTGGAAGGTTAACTGTTATTAGTATTGCCTGTTTGAGATATAGAATCATACTGTATGTGTATTTTACACAGACACATTGTTTCTGAGTGCCTGTGATGTAGAGTATGTATGGAAGAAATGCTAAAATTTGGAGTTGAATACGACCTGATTTTTATCATGTTTTAATGTCACAGTAATTACTGTTTTATGTTAATTTGATCATTATAATCCAGTATCTTAAAGGAAAGGGAGGGAAATATATAGATAAGAAAGATTTTTATTTTTGTTGTTAATTTTCTATCCCAGAATTTGTCTTGGCCACAGAATGTGCAGAAG